TCTAGTAATTCATCTTACAGTATTACGACGGCAATGTGACAAATAAATTAGTTTGACTTATATTCCTACTGTAACACTTTTTTAACTCCTTTGCCTCGATATCAATAGCACAACACCTTTTTTTCGGCGTACTTGTCAGTGGCTTTTATTTGAATGATAACAGTGGAAGATGTGATCCAAAAACAAGTCAATAAGAGTGACAACAACTCCCTGAGTTCGCCACTCAGTTGAAGACTACAATCCTCGCCAAAAAATCCTCGAAACATCCATGCACTTCCCTTTCCCTCTGCAATGTTAGAGGCAATGTTGAGATATGATTGCAACGTTGCGCGACTTTAACAACATTGCAAAAGGTAGAAGGGAAATGAAAGGGAGCGAAATTCTCCAAAGTGTTTCAAGGTTTTTGCCTGAGATTGCAGCTTATCGATCGAGGAAGTGTAAGTATAACTAGCATGCGGACTTTTGATTGTCTGTCAAAACACACGCATCTCCGGGCTTACGTCTGCGGGTTATGGGCTTCCTTCCCAATATCTATCGAAGCCTTCCTTGTTTTATGCTGTCAAATTGCTGTCTGAGCATGAGAGAAGGGGACTGCGTCCGCTGGCCACGCATGCTCTGAATACCTCGACATTTGAATTGCATGTTCCAAGTTTCATAGGGAGCGAGCGGAAATGTGGATTTCTGTTCGACTGACTGAATACCCGAATTACTTATTAATATAACTTCTTTTTTATTTTATAAATCACTTAGCAAAACAAGATAAAAGCCACACCTGAAAGGCTCAGTGATTTAGCCCACCTGAGCAGCCACTTAGAGCCCTTTAGTTCAAAAGCTTTCCCGCCGCTGAAGTTGAATTATGAAAGCTCCTTATTGGCCAAAAAACTCGAATGCAGCAATACATAAAGAAAAACTACTTTTGCTTTCTACTGGTTTTTCAGAAAATTTCCATCTTTTTTCTTTTTGTTATTCAAGTTTACTTGGCTCGTGTATGGACTATTCTTATTAATACTACTGCACGATCATACCATTGTTTCTTAGTTTTACAGCTTTTTGAAGCCGAACAGCATGCATTTAATACCCTATTTTCAAATTTGCACTTTAAAAGCTCCTTATTGGCGGACAAAATTCTTGACTATGCGTCATTTCGTGACATCCTGTTTACACAAAAGGATTATCAATTATGTCAGCTTCGGATGTAGTGGCTAACTGCAACGAGCGACGGCTAAGAGATGACGTCAATCAAACTATACTATCTGCAAAAATATGTTAAACACGCCGTATGTGCCGTATTTTTTTTGAAAGGACGCAAATACCAAAGGGATTATGAACAAAGTCTGTGCATGTTGCCGCTTGTTCCGCTGCTTTTTCCCACTTCGTGAGGATCTAAAGACGTTTAATGAAGGTTCTCGTATGGATTTCCGACTAATTAATGCGATCTTCAGTTGGTGTTAACTGCAAATTAAGGCATTGCATTCAGCACTTCCAAGGTTATTGCTGATAAACGGAGATAATGACTTGATAACGAGGTATTTATAACTCAATACAAGTTTATTTCTGTCTTTTCGGTCAGGAAATAGTACCTTAGTAGACAGTATCGATTTGACTGGTTTTATTAGGAACTCAACCGCAATGCATATTGGACGATGGGGTTATGAAACTAAAGTAGCGCCGATATCTCTTTTCACTCCTAATCACTCTGTGATGAAGTGCGAGTGATTCGAATGAAACATTCGAACTTGTACAGATATTTCACTCTAAGTCAAAAGGCTTTAAAACACGTACAATTTTCTTGAGCTCAGCTTTTTCGAGACGCTTTGATACTTATTCTTTTATAGTCAAGTATCTTGTGGACCCCTTGTGGAGATTTGTTGCCTCCGATTTGTACCCTTTAGGAAATGTGCTGAACTAATGTTATGTCACTTCAGTCTTGGAGTTTGGGCGAGCGACAGGCTCGGACCATATGAATTCTTCCTCGCCGATCTCCTAGAGTCTGACTAGCACTGCCGTTCCTGAGCTCTATTGCTGCAAGCCCAGAGTCCTCCACCAGAGTGAAAATAGGTGGTCATTGGTCTTCTTGTTTCTCCATGTTGTGGCTGCCACAATAGGAGCTTTGATGCGCTCCTCTTCCCTGTGTCTGACGCAGTGCCATTCTATTCTCATTTTCCTATTCCTGATCTTCCTGGAGCCAGGAGCCGTGTCCTATCCAGCAAAAATCACCCATAAACTGTACGTGCAGGATATGTCTATAATCCTGCATGCGTAACATGCATATGTTTATTTTGGGGGCTCACGGATTTTAAAATGTGCAATCTTTTATTTTGGGGCTCAAGGATTCAACGTTCAACTAGTGAGCTCCAAGATTAAACATTGAACGTACATGTATATATTTTGGGTGTTTTTTTGCTGTTCACACCTTTACAAGAACGTGATGATAAAGAGTAATGGAAATTTGCTCTTAAGTCCCTCTGCTCTATCTTGTTGTACTCCCCGATGTAGGTCTGTGTGACCACTTGGTGTGATCAGAAGCAGCCGGTCGGAGAAATAAATCTCAAGTTGACAAGATGCTCGCGTTGCTTTTTGCTACTCACTGGTGATCATTAAAATAATTTTTGTTTATTCTCGGAGTTTTTAAGCCTGATTCGGCGGTGGCCATTTCTTCAATGTTCAAGTAAGCCTGCGTAGCAAGCGTTTCCAATCGAGTAATTGCGCGAAAGTTGGAGCGAGAGCAAAAAAAAATGGAAATTTCCCAACTTTCTCGACGAACTCGAGCGGAAACGCTTGCTACGCAGGCTATCCTCAAGTCCGTTCGTCTTCTTGGAGTATTCGTCTTTTTTGTTTTCAAATTCCTCTTCATCTGTACTGGTTTGTTCGAATGAATCGCTGCTTAATTCCAAATCGCTTGACATTGTGTTCGGCTGGTTCTCCGCAATAGCGGCAATTACGTAACTCGACCCAGCCCCCTGTACCTTTTCACTCCAAACGTCATCTCAACTTAAGAATTGAGTACTTAAAATACTTAAGTTTATAACTGAAACTGTTTCCTGACGTCTATTGCTACGGATAACAAGGATGGATATGGATTGAAACTTTTAATGCCATGCCTACTGAATTTTCACCAAACGTTGTTATGGTTAGTGCTCCTTAATGAAATTTGTTTGATATCTTCTTCATCACTTTGTGTTTGGGTAAAGGCACTAATACGTGATGACTTCAGCACAGAATTGACTAAAAACTGCAATATCCTCGTGACATAGTCCCTCCACGATTCCGTAAACAGGACCGCGCGGAGACAACCTCGTCCCCAGGGTTTCTCCATTTTTTTTACGGGAAAAGCCCTGGTTATGAGGTTGCGCGCAGAGAAAGAATGCTCTCCTGAAATCCCATGTTCACTAAGAGATACAGAACTTTTCCAAGGCTCTACAAAGAAATTTTATTTATTGCCTCCAACTCAAAAACGTTTGGCTGTGAGTTAAATAGCTAGTCAATTTTCTTCAGTATCAGCTCACTTCTGACCGTTTTCAAGCACTGCGGCACGGTATTTTCATGATTAGAAATAGTTTTAATAAATCAAAGAGGAAAGGGTATCTTCCACGAATGGTGTTGAAGATAGCAACATAACACAAGTGAATCTCATCTGTATCAGCGAGAACATTAAGAATCGAGTAGTACTTTCTTCCTCTGGCAATAATACAATCGCAAAGCTGACAGCCTTATACCAGACCAGACCAGACCAAAATTACTGCAAAGCCTATTCTAAACCAAGGGATTTTATAGTCATGTCGTCTCAGGACTGAACACACTAAAACCCAGTCACCAGCCTCGTCCCCAGGGCGCTTTTCCCTGGCTTTGGAGGTGGGGCGGGAAAAGGCCCTGGCATCGGCGGCTGGTCACATGACCAGCAAACAAGCGCTCGGGGGACAAGGTTGCCGAGTCACACCTGGACAATAGTCCCTGTGATTTTTACACGCTATATTTCCTAGACTCTGGGTAATGTCATTTAATACCCCGGCTGTACAAAGGTGCATGGCACCCATTCCGGAGTAGGAAGGGAGCTCTGGAATTCGCTGAAGTATTCAAGTGATTAATAGGTGCACATCGTTCAATTCTAGCCTTATGCCTTATGCCCCTCTTTGTAGCCTCCTACGCAAAGGTTCTTCAGGCTTCGTCACGTGGGGGTCGCGGTCCTACGCATGGAAACCCTCAGAACGTCTGCGTGGGAGGCTAGCCATGTTGAGAGTGACCTTGGAGGGTCACGCTGACCACCGCAAAACAAGGCGTGAATTAAACACAGCAAATACCGCCACAAATCAACCCAAACGTAAAATACCAGATCCTCAGGGCACGTTTGGATTAACGTAGTATCTGAGTTCAATTAATGGACTCATATCCTCTCTACTCTCCTCAATCTTCCTTTGCTTTCAAAGGCCCAAACTGAACCATACTCATGACAGAAATATCACTCAGCTTCTGCAATGAGCTGAACTGTCCAAAATTTTCTCATTAAGTGTCATTTGAATTATGTCTGAACTGCATCAATTTACGTTGAAACCATAGACGCAACGCTGAGAAAGAAGCCGACAATAATTAGCCATTCATTGTTTATCTTTTTTTTCCGAGGTCCTGCAAAAATAACATTTTAATTATTTGATTCAGTTCCCTTCTGAAACCTTGTGCAAAAAACAAATACTATCACCTGATTGACTAAAATATGTCACTACGCGTTAATGGTTTTTGTCTGCAAAAATACGCATTTTAATACCTCCAAACAATAATACGGTCCAATCAGATCAGAGGGAACTACTTTGGCTCTGCAAGTAGACAAACATTTTACAGATCTTATTATCACTAACTTATATCCGGGGCTCTTCAAGTGAATGTTTTAAGGCTGTTAAGGGTCACTTGGTTTTACCATTTTAATTAACTCAAAATCAAGCACGGAATTTCGCTCACTGTAAGAAACGGAATGAAACCGTGCAACCGATTGATCACATTCTGTCCTCATGATTGCGAACTCTGCAGCTGACTCGAATTCTGACGTGGCTGGCTTCTGTCGGTTTGAAGGTAAGAAAAACAACAAACAGAGCATACTTGAGAGGTGGAATTACTAACATCTTCATTCCTAGAGCTCGCTTGATGGTTGAATTCTTCAACGGCTGATTTGAGTAACATGATTATGTGAAATAGCGTAATATGCAACGTACCTCAAATCCGATGACGGTTTCTCTTTGACGCATTTGGGGAATTTAAATGGTAAACTCAGGGATTAGAAAAATCTTTGCACTTGGTGTCTTTGACTAAAAGTAAGCCTGGCCGATATAAAAATCTCGCTTAAGAGGATTACCTGTAACTAGTGTAACTAGGAGATTTACTCCGTTAAAATTTTCTGCGATATTTCGAACGCGAGGTGAGAAGGATATTACCGGACAAATCAATCACTAGTTGAACACAAGTAATAGTTTGATTTAATGATTACGCGCCTGCAAGCTCAGAATGGCAAAGTAAGGAATTGGGTTTTAGTACGATGAGAGAAGTCTAGCTCTACAGAGTGAAATAATCTTTTACCCACCTTTAAAAGCAACTTCATTTTCGTTGTGTTGCAGTATGACCCAAACTAATGCGAAATGCTGACAGACGAGTTTGCAATTGATGGTATAACCTTACACTATGTTTACAAAAGACTGAACCTCAAACGGGAAAAGTGCAAACATTTTTAACAATCTTTCATTAAAATTCCTTAGGAAACACCCATGTATCTCTGAACTAAAGGGTTTTAGAACTTCCACCGTGCTCTACTGACGTCATCGAGCTCTGACATTTCATTTAGCCCTGGAAACTCCTTCACGCAACAAATGAATGAGAAGTACCTTGTTGAAGAGCTGTTTTTCACTTTAAAAAGTGACATTCTTTGTTCCAAGTCAAAAAATTAAAAGGATATATTTTTCGCCTATTTGGTTTTTTCGTGGTCAACTTATAACCATTTTAGTCTTAACTAAACTATTGACGAAAGAGCCGTTTAGTTAAATGGCCCGGCCACACCATGGAGTCTTATCCACAAATTAGAAGACTCATTATTTCTCCATAAATGACCCTGGGAGTTAAAGGGTCAACCATGTGATCGATTATTTCATTGTCTTTTATGAAGGGACGTGCAATTAATAAAAAAATTCACATCCCGTTCAAAAAAGACTTAATATTTCCAAGAAATGAGAATAATAAGGAAACATAATTATGCACTTGAGCGCATGAACAGTTCATTGACCACGACCAACTTCCTCCTAGTCTGTTAAGGAGGTGAGAAAAATAATTATCGGCTTCTTTCAGGCCCTACACGAGAATAGTTTCTTATATGAACTGTCCTGACCGGTTGACAAACTTTTGTACCGTATAAATGGAAAACTAAGTTCGGTTCCACTGTTAGGACTAAAAACGGAAATTAAACAACTATAAGCCACTGGGATTACAAGCTTTTATAAAAGACGACAATCTGCAGTTGTAAAACTGCACTTCCGATTCTGTTTGACCTTTATTGTCTCATAATGCGTCACCAAAGGCAAATGCCACGGATTAAATTGTATGCTAAATAATAGTACGTGAAAAGCTGCTAAAAATGTAGATGAAAGGCTATTTCTTTGTCATAACTACTCCACTGAGAGGCAATCTTACGGTTGCTTGTCACTGCTCTCTTTGCACGAACATCTCTCACTCTTTTTGCAAAACAAATGTGGATAATTAATCTGTAACTCGCAACGGTCATACGCCGATGTCAAGTATTCAGAGCCTCTTGTTTAACTCAGTTTAGTTACAAAATTATCGTGTTAATAAGCAATTTTTATTCCAATATTCCTTTTCATTTTCGGTTTCACGTTTAGAGTCTTTCCCAAAAACCTGCCAAAACAAGCATGATGGATCTCCCCGCAAACTGAATACAGAAAGTGACCTTTATTTTTCCTTTATTCTTATCTTTTACAGCCAGCTTGTGTCGGCTGACTCCCTTCGTCACAGTGCCAATGAGTTACATGGACATTCTTTCTGTAAGTATATTTGTCTACCAAAAGTAATTGCGCAGTAGGCCATTTCTGAGTTCCTCAAACTCTCACTTTTAACCCTTTAAGCCCCAATATCCACATACAAATTCTCCAAACTGATCTCTACACATTTCCTTTAAGGATTAGTTAAGAGAATTTGATAAGAGATCAAAGTATTTTCTCTTAGGTGATCATTTTATTAATTCTCATAACCTCCTCATGACAATGTATGGATATCGTTAGGAGAAAATTGCTGTTGGTCACTATTGGGACTTAAAGGGTTAAAGCCAGTGGAGTTGGGTGCAAACCCTTTAACATGAACGTAAGTTATACCTGAATGACCATAAAACTTATTTCCATCATAACACTTTGCGCTTCCTCCATTTTTGGAAAAAAAACTCTGTAATGGTCTACTGCGTAATCCCCTTCCTTTTTATTACCGAGCTGTGCGGTGACGGACCAAACATGAAATCAGAACATTTCTTCAATTATTATTATAGTTACTTAACCTGACTCGAGGCAGTGTATTATCTCTCTCAAACAGCAGAAGATCATCTGCCACACGTCTTCCCCCAACTTTTGAGTTCAGATCCTCAGGTCGTTGTAACGATTTTCATCAGGGGCATCTGTAAGTCAGGATAAAAAAACAAACTCGGAGCATATATTATAAGCCGAAGTACCACTTTACAAATTACATTTCAAATTCTGTGTGGTTAAACTAGTATAGCTACGCTTTTCATAAATGAGCACCTATTAGTATTCGAACATGAAAGTACTATTGTTTCCTTAAGCTTTCCTGAGCAGTTAACCCTTAAAATCTAGTAAACGTGCAAAAAAAGTAAAATCGCATAGAGAGCAAAAACCACAAACCGCTTCGAACTTTTGCTTCTTTAATCGTTCCTATGCATTATTATTTAGCCCTTAAACTGTTTTGGGTTAGGTCGCGCATGGAAAAAGAACTGGTACCTAGTAAACGCGCAATAAGTCTCGGAAATCCCATACAAAGTACAAACCACAAACCGCGAGAATCATCAAGACTTTACACTCTCAGATTATAATTCTAGATCTCAAATCGTCTTCCGAACAGATATTTTCCGAAAATTGACGGTTGGGTGCCCCTGTTATAATTCTTCAAGTCACTTCTTTTAACACGAGAATTCATATAAATCCACTCAAGGCCAACACCGAACCTCCGTATTTCTCTTTTGCCTGCGTCAGTCGGTCAGCGGTTGAACTTGAACCTTTTGATATTCCCGCCATATAAATTTAAGTTGGTCGCGACACATTATCAACCGTTGCGTGACAAGTATTCAGAAGTATTGTCCAGCAGGGAGATATTGGAAGTTTAGGATTGTCTGCACCTAACAAATCGGCTGGGCTTATTTGATTGTCTGCTTTTTATTCAATTTTACGTTCCTGTGAGTCGCCTTTCACACAGTACAGCAATTCGTGAGAGCAGACAGGGCAGACAAGATACCACTCAGCTGTGACATAGGACCTGTTCTCGAGTATGCATTGTTTATCAAGAAATTCCTACGAATAATTTTTAATACTGACGAGTATTTCGAGATGCACATTAACTGAGGCAAAGCAAGATCATAGAGCTCATAGGTTGGTATTGAATATCTGATAGTCAGGGGAGGGTTTCGATCAAGGCATTACTGAAGTTTTGGCCTTTCTCTTTAAACCAAGAAGACAAAGCCTTGTTTGTTAAGAGTGGAAAGCCAATACAGAATCAATAGAAGTATGTACAGTGACTATTAAATCGTAAGTTGAATCCTTTTGCCAACACGAACATTGCCCGATAAAGGACGTCACTTTGCTTTATAGTTACAGGCTTGCTTTTTTAGTTATTATTTGTCGTATACGAGGATACTTTGAAGGACTTCAGGCTTATCACTCTCATAAATCTCTTATATTAGCCATCCTCGTCCCGCATTGTCGCAATATAGCATTCCTCTCAGTCTCCTCCTTGCTACTAAGGTTTTGTCCACACAATTCAGGTCAAGCCGGCCCACGCTAGTGTCCACACCAGAAAGAGAGGGGCCGGTGAAATTTAAAACGGATCACTTTGGAGAAAACGGGAAAGAAAAGTTCGCAGGAGCAATTGTCAAAAAAGGATAGAGTTTTTTTTTTTTTTCAAGTTTTATAACAAAAAGAAAGGACGAGCCAGTGAATGTACAGCTTTATCTCTCGTTGTTCATGCCTTAGAAAGGGAATGATGGTCAAAAAAATGAAGCTGCGCAGCGGTTTTCCCAGCCACAAAGTAATCATATCTCTGGCTTGCTCACCATGTAATGGCGGGAAAGCACGTGTATACATGTACCGCACAACCACACATGAGGTATGTGGCTTAGACTTCGAGCAGTCTTTTTTTTCAGTGCGCACAGTCAAGCAAAGCGCGCAAGACGCACGTACCAGTCCCAGTGAATTTATGTTGGAAAGCCGTCTGTACTTAAAACGCAAGCAAATAAAGAGTCTACAGCTATTTCGAGAAAGGTTGTCGGAAAAATGTGCACGCGACAATCCCGAAAGGTAATATGGGATATGATCAATACTCTGTTCCTGACGACTGTACCTGTCGAACCTACTTTTGTTGCTTTCCTTTAGCACTCGCAAACACTTTTCCACGGCCTTTCGTACCAATTCTTTCAAACTTCTTTAAATAACAGTGAACTTAAAACCACCCACAACGCCCTTCGGGTTTGTCGCGTGCACTTTTTCGACAACCTTTCTCGAAATATCTGTATACTCAAAACGCACGTAGACAACTGCACTTTAGTCGCTCGTTTCCACGACTTTATCACTCGAAAGAGTCGACTTGTGGGCAATTCTCGCAGACAACGTACGTAGCAGTTATTAACAAACCTTCCACGAGAAAGATCAACTCTTACTCTTTCATGACCGAAATGAGAACTTTCCTCAAAAGCCTGACCTAGCTTATAACTACAGCCCTCCCTACTGCTTGGACTAATGTGGTGGACAAATATTTCGCCAAAAACAAAGTAGATCCATTTTGTATTTTTTCCCTAGTATCTTTGCGATCACTGTGTATTTTCTCCCTAGCTATTTCAGATCATTGCAAAGGGTTATTTCGAAGGTAAACGAAACTTCCGGCCTCTACCGTGTAACTGTAAATATGAGGTAACCGCGCGATATAATTTGGTAAATCAAACTTCCACACATTATAAGAATGCAAGTTACTTAATGTGCGCTCACTTTAGAAATTACCACATTTTATAGTTTCTCTAGTCAGTAGAGGTTTCCCGTGCTGCTGCTCAACATCACGTTACTTCAGTAAGGGCGATCTATTCTCCCGCCGCTATCAATGACTAAAAGAGCGGAAAGACCGACTCATTAACACCGCTCCGTTACAATAAACAAACCAACATAATAGTTTATTATTCACAGCCGCTTTGAAAAGTCTTTTTCTCTGAAATTATTTTAATATCCTTTATCAAAAGGAAAACCTGGTCTGCGAACAAAGCAAATAAGCCGCCTATCGATTAGCCGGCGTATTCTCGGTTTGGGCGTTTTCGGTAATTGCACCTAATATGATGATTAGACGCAAATATTTTAGCTTAAAAATTATTCCATACGTGATTTAACATCACAACGGCGTCACAAGAACCCTGCCAATCACTTCTACTACTCTTACAAAAATAACCTGTTAATGTTTCCAATGGAGATCAATATTTCAAGTAGTATTAGCCCTATCAATCGTATGCTTTTCGTGACTGCGGTCCGCCTCTGTTGAGATTTAAGGGAGTGGGTGGTAAATATCGCACGCATGAGAGCATTTTCTCGACCAAAACATTAGGGTTCTAGACTTCCAAGCATTTTTCAGTCGAGTAACAGAATGAAGGCTGATATAGAATTAACGCGGTTTGGTAGAATCATGAAGACGGATCTTAAAAGAAGACGGCACATGGGTGGTACATGGTTGCTTATGTTAGATGTAAGTGCTTGAAATTCTCAGTTGAGTCATCATTTAATTCTATGCCGCAAACGAGACATAAATAGCGATACTCAACAATTAATTTCTTCACTGCATTCTTTTTTCTAATGACTTTTTCTACATTGTCAGCCTTAAATTTAAGATTGACGCTCTTGAGATAATTCTGAATAAGCTATCTAGACGGGATTCATTAAACTAATGGTTGAAAAATTGCGAACTAAATAAGACAAAACAACCTTACAACGTGTAGGTTTCAGCGATACATATAGTTTAATGGGGGATAGCTTCTGTTTATAACTCAGTCGTCGTTTTTTAGATTAAGTACTACTAAATCGTTGTCTTTGTAGCTGAAAGAAGCGTTACAAACCACGCTGGTTATAAATCACGTATAGTCAACACACTTTGAAAGGTAGGGATTATAGGACTTTACCGAATTTGTGGCAAGCTCTGCTTCAGTTACGGGATCATAGTTTCTTGCCTAAGTTGCTCAACAGTCGTGGTACGACTGATAAATTGGCCCTGCGTAAGAGCATCTGGGGCTAAGTTTTAAAAGACAACACGCTTCTACAACCCTTCTAACTTAGCTATGATTTAGTTAGTATCAGTTGATTTTTATAACAAATCAGGGTCATGTTTTTGAACTGAAATTAACCTCCGCGCCGACACCACTGACATGCATGAAAGAACCCGGCATGTAATTCCGATAGTTGGTGCTCGTTGGGACGAGTCTGATGACTTAGGGTTTCAAGAGAACGATTGCTAGTTTAATACCCGAAACTGAATACCAAATTTATACAATTCTCAAATTTTGCGGAAATGCGGACAACTATAACTTATTCGTTATTCTTTCGTTTTCCGTGAAACGGAAATCAGTGGTTTGGATCCTTTCAGGGAGCGCCGATTTTGTTAAAGCAGAAAAACCACCAAAGTGTCTCTCTGATATAAGGCAAGTTCCTCCTGAATCTTAAGAGCGAATGCACAGAAAAATCGAGCAAAATCGGTAAATCGTGGCCACTGCTCAAAACCTAACTTACCCTCATTTTCAGTCTGTAATAAGGTTTTAATGAGTTTATAACACTGCTGAGGTTTAAATTTCAAAATGCGACCGAGTTTGGGAATTATTTGAGATTTTCGATTTCAACGGTCAGCGGGCCTAAAATTAGCCGCCGAACTCGGGAAAATAGCCCAGTGACAGAATTGAGCTGATTTTCATAAACGAGCGAATATATTGGCAATCTTCCACTTAAATCTCAAAAAGCAGATATCTAACAATTTCTGAACGGCACATTTTTTAGATTTAGAGTATAAAATATCGACGAACCAGCAGAATTTTGAAACGTAATTTGCATAATGCTTATAAATACAACAATTTACCGCTAAAACCAAAATCGAATTTTCTATATGGGGGAATTCTCCAAATCACCCCAAATCCCGCTTACTACCTAATGAGATATGGTACTTCAACATTATCTGAAAGTTAGTCTGGTGTTCTTGCGAACGCTTGTAAAATAGACTGATTATTTTGAGGTTATTTCGCCCCAAACAACCGCTAATTGACCCCAGGGTCAATTGACACGTGCACGTCACCTTAGTTTTATGCGTCGATTTGAGCTCGTTAAAAGGGAGAAACTAACAAGATTCTTTTAATATGTACCTGTTTTAATGAAATACACGCAATCTTCAAAAGGAGAGGCCGTTCAATGGGTAATTTCTGTTCTTGAGATCTTGTAGATTGCAGCATGGCGTCTGCGAGTAGACCTGAGTCTAGGTCTGTTTTCCCGTGACTGCGAAATCAGAATAACATCAAGAAATAATTCTCCCTCGAATCTTCTTAAGTGAATCAGCTTTGCAGTGCCTTACCTGAGATAAAAAGTGGGCCGAAAAGCAAACATTTCTAGCGCAATTTGGATCCTTTCACTAAGTAAACCTAAAAGAACTACCTATGGTCTTAACTCCTTTTCTTACTTTTCAGCTAAGCAGTGGAATGGATGCACTGCCGGACTTTTTTCGTACCAGTTTTTTTGCAGACTTTAAGACTAAAATACAGGATGTTACCTTCATGTAGATTCTTTTTGCCTGACATACTTAAACTTAAAATTGTGAATTCTAAATGATATTTTCTTTCCTTGCATTTAATGTATATATATATTTTCTATATAGTTTTTATGTAGTGTCAGCTCGAAGATATTAGCTTGTTAGCAACTCCAAAATTCCAGTATAAATAAAGTTTTATGTTATGTTATGTTGTGGAACGAAGTGTATTGCAGAGCGAAAGGTGAGTAAACGTGGGAAAGAACGTTAGCTTTGATTGCGTGACCAGCCAGTAAACGATAGTCTCCAGCGAAAAATAGGATTCGCAAAAATCTTGCTGATGTATATTTAACAGTTTGTTACTTTAAGTTTACACCTGGTTTGTCTAAAACTTTAAACAATGCATATCTGTCCAAGAGTACAAGAATGTTTCGAAAGATCCACCCCTAAATAACTGTGGGCTACTCCTTTTTCCCCAGCACCGATGTGCACTTCCTTCCCACTGTCTTTTGCATGAGGCTTGTATGCTTTTTTAACTGTTATCGACACTTAAAAGTGGCCGTTTAAGGCCTGGTTTAAGAACTTGACTGACTTAAAAAACCGTCGCGAACATGCGCTATTATTGTTGGACTTTGGAAGCTTTAAGCCCAAAATGATGGTGCAATCTCGAGAAATTTGCCCGGGTCTAATTATAAGACAGAGAACGGGTACTAAGAAAGGGTCGGTCTCATTTAGCAACCCGTGGACAATCTGGGCACGCTTGCCTTCTGTCGCAGGGGCAACCGTTAAGACCAGGTACGCCGCCCCCACCCGAGAGGATTGCATGGCATCCACCATTTCAGTCGCTGTTTCTACATCATGACCTTCAATTATCATGAATTATAATGCGGGCCTTGATCGTTGCCACCTTACCAGAAGTCTAATCTTCGCACTGTTAGACCATGAGAATCTCTATTATTATTCCATAAATGCATCATTGACTTTTCCTTGCTCAGCTTCCGGTAAACCGATACTCCGAAGCAAAAATAGCTTTACAACGACTCTATCCAGGCCAGAACTCCTGATATCAACAAATATACCCCCAAAGAGAGCAAACGTTCCCCGAACTATTCACTTGACCCACCTCATCCCTTCGTTAAGAAACACTACGCACTCAGTTCACTGGACAAAACGCGCTCGTGAATATACCAAACTATAGCCGTTCATCCTACAAGCAATCTTAGTTTCAGCAGGCGTGGCCACGTTTCCAGTTGCTGTAAGATTAATTCGACACCTGCAACAGACACTGTAAATTAAATAGCAGCCACAACGCCCTTTTTTGAAACACTCAGGACGACAAAGTTTATAAAAGACTTAACAGGTGTGCGCGGCGGTTTCCTTTTCTTCCTTCCCTCCCATTGTAGCACTCAAATTCTGACCCTGATATTAATTCTAGTAGTAATCAATCGTTCCTGAGCCGATAGGCACAAGGATACAAGTTTCTTGCAAAATATGCCTTCGGCCGCTGATTAGGTTTGGTTCTGTGCTTTGAAATAACTTTAGGAACGAAACATGATACGTGAGGGAAGTGTCAGGCTAAGGGCAAGTGACTCTCGGTGGTGAAGACATATACTGAGCTTGTCAGTATTTCGTAGCCTGTACCACGTCGCGAAAATAGAACAAGCCAAAGAAAAATAAGACGCCTTTCTTTTCCCAGCCCCCGCAGGTTTTTCGCATTACTTTTTACTGCACAACTGATTCTACCTTTTCGAGCCGGAGCGAAGATGGACGCCCTTGGGGTTAAGTTTCCACTTCATTTTCGGCACCTGACTAAACGCAAGCGCTGACTTGTGCGCCTATGCTTCGTTTGCGCTGAAGTAGCAGTATATGACCACGACAGACTTGCTGCTATCCTTGGTTTGAAACCGCAATGGGCAAGAACAATTTCTTGAAAAGAGCAAACTGTTTAATTTTCCTCCTTAGTAGACATGGAGAACAACTACTAGGACTTAAGCAATGCCATTGCTTAAGCCCTACTAGACTTGAAAAGAGAAAGCATGATGCTTTCTCTTTTTAATGATTTACGGCTAAACGGTACAATTTCATGTAGCTTTCACGCAAAATTAAATACTTAGTTGTTTGCAGAATTGCATTTAACAACAAATTACAGAAATTTAACTAAGTTTAGATCTCATAGATAAGAATTGAACGGAAAAAACTTTTGGGGTAAAAAAGTCAAAAAATAATGTTTGCTGGAAAATCACTTAATGGACATACAATAGCAGAGATATCATGCCTGTAATTTTCTGTTCAATGCACCTTATGACAAGTCTGACTAATCCACTGGTAACCCATGCCTTAAAACCGCCTTGAATCTTAAAATTTAATCCATTTGCCTTTCATGCGTAGTGGTTGGGGGTAAAATCAGAAGAACAGAACATTCAGTTACTGTACCATTTTTAAAAGTGGGACAGTATGTTTGCTAATCATCTTAGTTAACCGCCTTTAAAATAGGACAAAAGGACACCTGGTCATACAGGAAAATGAATTTACTGTATCCCGAAAGCTTTGGTTTCCCGTGCACTTATTTTTCGCAGGAGACAATCGATAATTGCCTGGTCACGCAATCGGAGGTTAGTAACTAATTTTAAAAAAGTCATTGATACCATCGCCGCTTAGCAAATACACTACGTGCTGCAAAGGATCCAAATTGCGCTTATAGAATGTTTTCCTATTCGGCCCACTTTTTATCTCAGGTAAGGCATTGCAAAGCTGATTCATTTACGAAGGTTCGAGCGAGAATTATTTCATGATGTTATTCTGATTTCGCAGCCACGAGAAAACAGACCTAGACTCAGGTCCACTCGCAGACGCCATGGTACAATCTACAAGATCTCAAGAACAGAAATTACCCATTGAACGGCCTCTCCTTTTGAAGATTGCGTGTTTTTCATTAAAACAGGTACATATTAAAAGAATCTTTGTTAGTTTCTCCCTTTTAACGAGCTCAAATCGACGCATAAAACTAAGTTGACGTGCACGTGTCAGTTGACCCTGCGGTCAATTAGCGGTTGTTTGGGACGAAATAACCTCAAAATAATCAGTCTATTTTACAAGCGTTCGCAAGAACACCAGACTAACTTTCAGATAATGTGGAAGTACCATATCTCATTAGGTAGTAAGCGGGATTTGGGGTGATTTGGAGAATTCCCTCATATAGAAAATTCGATTTTGGTTTTAGCGGTAAACTGTTGTATTTATAAGCATTATGCAAATTACGTTTCAAAATTGTGCTCGTTCGTCGATGTTTTATGCTCTAAATCTAAAAAAATGTGCTGTTTAGAAATTGTTAATATCTGTTTTTTGAGATTTAAGTGGAAGATTGCCAATATATTCGCTCGTTTATGAAAGTCAGCTCATTTCTGTCGCTAGGCTATATTGCCGTGTTCGGCGGCTAATTTTAGGCCCGCAGACCGTTGAAATCGAAAATCTCAAATAATTCCCAAATTCGGCCGCATTTTGAAATTTAAACCTCAGCAGTGTTATAAATTCATTAAAACCTTATTACAGACTTAAAATGAGGGTAGGTTAGGTTTTGAGCTGTGGCCACGGTTTGCTCGATTTTTCTGTGCATTCGCTCTTAAAACTCGTACTAAGTTGGTTGATCATGACTGATGGGTGACCGTACAACCGGAACAGTCGCCTGAGTAAATTGGAAACAAGAAACCGCCAAATCCACTACGATTATCGTCTAACTAGAGATTAAATCCAAATATTACGTGGGGGAGTCCAACACTCGTGCATACACGCACAGTATAATGACTATCATGTGAACTACTTGTGACATCACTTAGCTTAAAAAGAAATGACGATGCATGATGTATACTTGTGTCCACACACCCATTCTGCTTTCTAAAAAGGCCTGCTTTTATTTCACATTATTATGACTGGGAAAAGTCTGTACCTAATTATTTTAGTTCTACGATGAATTGCTAGTCTCTCTCTTGATCTTGGGCATCAACCGCATGGCCAGCGTATCACTGCGGGTATATGGGAAAGCGGAGGGAACCGCAATATGCTGATATATTTCCTGGTTGAGCAATTACATCACGTGCGTGCAGCCAAGTGTAATTTCAGGGCGGTATTAAATAGGCTCCTGGTAATGTCAATTTTGAAGTGATTCATAACAACAATTAGACAAAAAGAAACGATATGGTAGATTGCAAATAAAGCCTTTATAGTATCTCAAATTGTATATCTTTTTCAGCCTTGGCTTTCTTGTACTGAGTTCACCATTTCGAATTTAAGAGGGCTCTGAACCTCGCTCGCGTTTTGAATTTCTTTAACTTCTTCAAATTTGGCATTTTTATCATGTTGACCTTCCACAACAAAGACTCAAGGAGCTTGTGTTTTTTATTGAAACAAACTAACGGTTAAGATGTCGTAAGCAGGCTTTTTCTACGGTACATTGTTACGGTTTTACAATGATCAGGCACTTGTTTGTCACCGTTTGTTGTCGTAGTGTTTGTTCCGGCACCGCTCTTTCGCTCAGGTTCATACTTTGCTTTACCATTAATTTTCAAATAAGCTTGACCGATGTTTTTCCTTAGAGAATGGAGGTTTCATCTCTGGAGGACATTCTCACGGCACCAAACTTAAATAACTGCTTCCAAGCGGAGGATGAAGACAAGGGGAATGGTTCTTCGGCACAGTCTAACAATGCATTTACGCTTCAAGGATGCGCGGACGAAAACGAAAATGAGGTATTTCAAGAGCATCCAAACCTTTCAACTGTGACCCATTTTGATACGCAGGCTTGTTAAAATACACAATTAACTCCAAGATAGGGCTACCCTGGGTGCCAGAAGTTTTTTTCTCGCGTGCGACGAGGAGCTTCGTCGGCCGCAGGCCGACCCGTCTTCGGGCGAAGACCGGAGACACGAGCGGCGAAATCGCTTTTCGCGCGGGTCACTTTTTAAAGACATGACCGAAACCGGAAACCGCGCATGAAAAGCCTCTGGCCCCCAGGGTAAGATAGGGCAGTCATAAGAAAAAAATAAATCTTAGTATAAGGGATTTCAGTCGCCCACCACCAGTCTTCGATAGTTTCCTTTTGGGCTGGCGAGTATATCCGCCTTAATAACGTCGGTTTATAACCGTATATTCATTTCCAAGTCACATATGCACTTTACGCTTTCGTTCCATTCAAGCTGTGACTCAGATAAGCTCTAGTGACATACTGGCTGAATCCAGTCCACATTTGCCTACCCCTTCCCCTGCCAGTTAAGTCTGCCATATTGCATTCTACACTTTCCAGGGTAGAATGAGAGAAGTCACATTTTTCTTTAAAGATAATGGTTTGGTTTCTCGTAACTTCCATGCTTGATTAGTTTTCCGGATCGAAAAGAGTTTCCCGTTCTCTCCACAATCGGCAGTTGTTGCCACAGTAAATTTAAAGGAAAAAATTACGAGAATATATCCAGTGTGCCGTTAGTATCAACTTCCTTTTTTGGGAGCTTTTTAAGAATTCCAAAAATGATGAATTATAATTGTGGCCTGAAATGTTTTCGAGGCTTTGCATACTCATGTCTGTGAGATAGAAGGGTTCATAAGCTGTGATGTTCCAAATTTTGTTTATTCGGATGCAAACTACCAATGTTCTCGTAAATAACAGATAAAAATACACATCGGGCATCCGATATCCGGCTTGTTAAAGCAGCAACAAAATGTTGTCTTTCTGTTTAGGCTATGAGTGCTTAAAAATACATTAATAGTTACCTGCTGGATAGGAAAGGCTCCAGTACTGAGGCCATTCAGAAAATAGGTATCTGGTCACCTCGCCACCAACGAAATCCCCACCAAGAATAGAACCTAGCTTAGCACTGTTTCGAACCTTCATGAACGCAAATTTCTTAACCGTTACTTTATTTTCATATTTCAAAGAAATTACTAGAGGTTGTGAAACGCTTCTGCCAGTTTTTTAACTGATCTCTCAAATGTCAAAGTCAGGTGACATTCACACTAGAGTATTTTAGTATTTGCATTATCAAGAGCATAAGACGTTAGATGCAAGAATCGTCAATTTAGGATCGACAGATTTGTATTTGGGTCGACTTTAAATTGGAATATACTTGGCAAAAATCGTAGATAAGTAATCCCACGTATTAAACTGTGTCAATTATTTCAGTTGGAGGCGAGTCGACCTCTTGGTGGCAAGATGGTTTGGTCGCGAGATGACCCGTCGTAAACCAAAAAATATTTAAGTTTGAAGATAACCTGTCTATATCGCTAAAAACTCCTAAAGTCCTACCTGTCTACATTTTTGACATGGTTACTTCTAAACTACGTTTTCAAAATACGTTCTCCAGTATTGAGTAAAAGCGATTACCGGTGTTGGATTTTAGGAAGAAAAGACGTACAATGTGCATTATCAGTGCACACACAGTTCTTGCCAATCAAACCCAAATATAAGATTCGTACGACAATTCTCATTAAACTAAATTCAATGTTACGGTACAAAAATGCAAATCTGGCGCCAATTTTGTTAAGTGCGTTGGCTGGGAATGCTCTTACCCACTCACTCATGCATTTCACTCCGGCGTAGATCAGTGAGTGACTCTTGGGTCAATGCACATGATTACGATCTCAAATCGTTCTTTTCATTTCAGCCAGTTCCTACGCCAGTAATTGAGACGGAGGAAGAGTCAAAGCGCCGATTGGGTAAGTGATCATTTTATTCTGCACGTTCTCTCTGGTTGTCGATTGTGCAGAGACCGCTTTCTCCACACCGCACCTCTGTATTATGACAGCCGATGAATGCCTTGCCTTGCAAATCCTGTAAAGTGGGTAGAAATAATCTCCCTTAACTTTCTTAACTGGGCGTTTAAATCCTGTCGGTCTACGTGACTCGTGCTTTGATACTCCAAAAGTGTGCCTTTTGACGGTACAGTGTCCTTGTTTCCTGTTCAGCCAAGTCATTAATCATTTGTTATCATATAGCTATCGCGTTGCGTTGGGTTATGTAATAAGTAGAGAGTTTGCCTGTAAACGAATCAACAACTCGGTTGTTTTCTTTTTCACAACAGCAAACAGCTTTTTGAACTTTTCAGTAAACCGTTTCATAAACCATTTCATCCATTTTTGGCGGCGTCTGTGCGATTTTCAACTGCAAGGCAGTGTTTCGAAGGCCAAGTCGACTAAACCTGAAAAATTCCGAAAATGTTTTTCCTTTCACGGTGACTTAAATTGACTGAAATCTCTGGCATTTAAAATAAACTAGCAATTAGTACATGTCAAACATACTTTACTACGGTTTTTTAATTAAGTTGTCGAAATAAAATTAAATTATTATAAAAACGATCTATGATCATCTATGGGCGCTTTTCCTCTCAAAAGTTATCTCCAGATTTATCAATTGCCAAATGAATCTCGCATATCTAGTACAGATATGACTCGCTGAGTACTTAAAGTACGTGCTTTGGCGACTCTCTAATTGCCCTGAGGGAAATACAGTTATGCTTCATCAGTAGTCCTCGTATTTCAGTCAACTTGTATGAGGAGAGTTCTGTGTCTTTTCTTTTTCGGATAAAAGATCATAAAACATTGATCTTGACTGATACGTAAATAACCAGCTCTCATTTGCGAACGTTGTAGACTGGTTTGAGAACTGATAATGAAGTATTATATGAAGTAGTACAAACCCAGCCTACATTTTGCATGGAACTCTGACTCCAAGAGGAGAAGTACGAGAGGGGATATTTACAAACCGCATGGAACGGATGTGAATTTCGAGAGTATCGATTAGTCCTCAAGCAGTAAATCTGGGACAGATTAGAAATCAGCTTTATTTAGTCTAGAATAAGGTATCATTTACCGTGAAATTACCAGCAGTCGTCTAGAGTAGGAAATTAAAGGTCATTAAAACCCGGACGTGAAAAACCAAGCTGCAGGTACAATCAACATTATCCAAGTACGATTTTTACTTTGTTAGCAAATGGCTTCCCACTGAAAACACTGCAAGGGAAGCGTGAGACAGATAACTGCATGTAAAATGTTCTTTAACAAGGTTATATACCAAGATGAACAGAGTGCACCGTGAGACAGTGATCTACTGGATATCAATTATAATGGGTGTGCCATAAATGGTACAAAAGCGTAAGAGAAAAAGCCGTGAGGAGGGAAAGTCGTAAAAAAGAGAAAGTAGTCTGGAAATACAATGCTTCAGTTACATGTAGTTATTTCACTACTGTTCTCCAATTACAAGTAGAAGACATATACGTAGAAAAAGGCGTGCATCATCCAGTCATAGAACTGAAAAACCGCCAGGCGTCATATTTATTGAGGATAAGGCGGGGCGGCGGTGGACATTAGAGTTCAGAGGGGAGCTGCTTATTTTACGTCGGCCATGTTTGCAACCAGCGAGGCGAAATGAGAAAGATGCAACACAGGCCGCGCTATTCAAACAATGAACTCGAAGGCGCTTTTACTCTACAGAGTTCAGTGACTGAAGGAAGAGGTGTTTTAGTCCGGGATGACGTCCTTTTCCACTGGTGTTTGTTTGTTCTGTTGAGGACTCCTAGTAAACGTAATCTCTTTTTGAATCAGATTTTGTGTTCGAACTGAAAAGAATAAACACCCAGAACAATTCAAACGTATACACAAATGGCTTGTTAAATTCTACGAACAAAGACCACTTTAGAGTCTATCAGAGATTTGACCTGAGAGAATTACCTGCT